ATACATTAAAAAAAATGAGATATCCGGAAAAACGAAATAAATTTCGTCAAACATTCGCGTCGTAAATTAAATAAAAAAGTAATAAAAATTCGGGGAAAATCGAATACACACAAATTGGAAACGATATTAAACGAAAGTAGAATCTTGGTCGAGCGTCGAATCTTCGCACAAGATTCGTGCAAACTTGGTCGTCCACCATCGTTCCATCTACTAAAAAGTAAACTTTCGATCGACTGAGGGGTTCTCTCGGTGTAACAAACAATCGCCACTCGATCGAATTCGACTTCGCCATCATTCGTGAAGATTCTCACACCGAGAGAAATTGGTACACGTGCGTTACAAACTGTGTGCACCTCGTCGTACCTCGCATTCCGCTCGTATTCTCTTCTCTCCCCTCCTCCTCCCCCGTAGCCGAGATATTCCTCTTCTCTTTCCAGCAGGAGGAGCAGCTCGAAAGGATGTTTGTCGAGTCGAGGCGAACGGTGTTGTATCTAATCCATCGAGGCCGTGGCGCACTTGTTTCCTCTACACACATCGCGGATTCAGATAATACGCGAGCACGAGGCCAACCGACAGAAAGTCTGATGAACCCGGGAATAGATGGCCTCCTCCTCCTCCTCCTCCTTCGAAGAGGAGGATTCCATCGTGCATCGAATCGTGTCGTTCTACGAAGAAGCGTGGCTTCGCAAACTTTTCCAAGTTGTTGTTGTTGTTGTTGTTGTTGTTGTTGTTGTGAAGATGATTTTAAACGAGATTTTTATAAGAACTTCTGTCTGACAAGTTTTGATTGCCTCTCTTTCACTCGGAAGATTGAAGATTTATTTCGGTTATCTCGAGGAATTTTCGAAAAGAACACGAAGGATGGATTTCTTCGCACGGTAAGAATTTCTATTTTCTTTTTTTCTTTTTTTTTGATTTTTAATCATTTCGTAGCTCGTGAAACGTGGTGGATACAGGAGGAAAGAAAATGATCGCAGGTGTTGCGAAAAGTTGATGAGAAACTCGTTTAAAGACATTTACAAATTTTGCAATACTATCGGTTCTATCCTCGAAGTGTATTAACATCTGGATCTCGTTCGTTATACTCCGCCAAGAATATCGTGTATGTATTTTTGAATTTATTATTATTTACAATTTTGTTTCAAATTTAAATTTAGATAGGAAATTCGAATTAACGAGTCGCTTTGTGTACACGTTATTTGTCTCGTTCTCGTATATTTTTGTTTTCAACTCGAGTATAGTTCTCTAGAAGATAGAGAAAGAGAGAGTATCAAAGAGTTTCTCACGATTCTTGGCTCTATCGTATCTCAAACAACTTGTAACCTTAATCACCCCTCGTTTCTTCCTGTTCCATTAAAACTTCACGAGCGGTACGGATTTCCTGTTTCCCTTTAAACTGTATCTTTTAGAAGAAAAGAAGAAAACGATTTCTTACGATTCACATTGTTCCCTCTATAATACAATCATTTATGAATATATACACGAAATATCATTCAAATATTCAGCTTTTTCCGATCCAATTTCTAAACTCTGTTACGAAAGTGTGGCCCGAGCCAAAAGTCAAGAACGTCTTTGTCGCTTGAAGAAGGACGCAAAAATAATCGCGAGTCAACATGGTGAATTACATTTGGCAAATTTCCTCCGGAATACTTGGATTTTCAATATCTCTCAACATTTCAATATCTCTCTTTGACACAAATATGTTGGGCTTTGACTTTTTATAACAAGTTTATTTTCTTGCCTGACCAGTCATCAAAGATCGCAAATCTCGAAATTCTATATATATATATATACATTTCTTTTTCTTTTCAAGTATAATTTTTTAATGTGATAAAACAAAATTTTAAACGTTTTAATACATTTCTGTTATTTTTAGGTGAAATTTTCGTTATCAAAGAATCAGAATTTTCGGGCCAATTTCCAATACTTTTGTACACACGTACATATTACTACTCCATGTTGGAATATTTATCATATTTTTTAAATTTTTAGATTAATTTTTGGTTCGATCCCCACGAAACGATTCCAGAGAACGGTATGACAAAAGATTTTTTTGCAAGAAGAAACAGGAGCAAAGATCGCGACGATCACCCACGTGATAACCCAGTGACACGACTTTCTTTGTACCCAGAAACTATTTTCGACCGGTTATTTACGCATTACGGCGGTATTTATCGGCCGTATCGAGCTCTAATCTGGTCCGTATCCCGATTGCAGGCTCAAGTAAGATCGCGGAGGGGGCTTATCTGTTTAACGAGTTTCCTGCTTCGTTCGTTTCTTCCTTCTTTTTCCCTTCCTATTTCGTTGCTTCCAAGCACGATTGTGCCTCTTAATTCCTTAAATGGCCCGGTGAAAAACAACTGTATGCGAAACTTAATTGTAGGATAAAAATCAGGGGAAATTCAAAATCAGTTTCTGTTTTATTCTTTTAGATGACGAGACGAGAAATTTACCAACATGTGATTACCAACATACGATGAATTTGGCAATTATATATTTCTTTTTAAATACCAAAAGCTACTACAATTTTACAAAATGATTTAAAATATTTTAACGACACGGTTTCATGTTTAATAAGTAAAAGTAACCTAGCCAAGATTTCGTTAGATCTAAACGGAATGAAGTACTTGGAAAACTCTCTGCAAATAATTGCGCCACGATCTTGGGGATATTATTAAGCGAAATAAATCTGGATACAGGGACGCGAGATGGATAATTAATCGGGTTAATAAAAATCCGTACAGTTTACTTATTCGGTTCTCCAAACACGCGACGCACAATGTATGTACTTGGTTCACGAAAGGGTAGAGCACGGGGGTTTGTTTTACAATTAACCGAGATATCGTCATAGAAATAGGGAAGTGGCACGAAGGACAAGGGTTAAACTATTCCACGAGTATTTACACAGCATGATTCACAAATATGCGTCTATATCTGAAAGATAAGATTACGTTGAAAGAGAAGAGAAAACGTATCGTATGCGTAGATATTTGATTTTTTAATATTTAAATTTTATTAAGAAATTACGATAAGGAATAAAATGTGGAAAAGAAAAAGATGGAGGTGTAAAATGTCAAGAAAATAAGTAAAGGTATCTACAAATCGTTCGTACGATTTAAATGATCGAAGAAATCTCGCTTTCGTGTACTATGCATGCCACGTATTGTGAAATAGTTCATCGTCGTCTATTTTTACACGTGTGACGATGTGCGTGTAAATATTTGCATTTCAATTTTTTAATTAGAATTTCGCATGCACGTGTGTAACAATGTGGAAAAAATCAGATGTAAATAAAATGTGCAAACAAATGTGCGAGCTCGTCGATGAACAAGTTTGTAAAAGATAAACCGAAAAGCTTATCAGATAACTGTGGCCAAATGTTTACAAAACTGGACGCTCAGCTTTATGACAGATAAAGTTATTTCAAAAAATAAATCTGTCGGTATTCAATGAAGACGCTTTTCAATGTTACAAAAGGTTTTTATCTGGCGATCACTTTTTTAACCGTATCGAATGAAGCTGGGAATAAAACGAAATTAAAACAAAATAAAGTGAAATGACCGAAACGGCAAACAACAAAAGGAAAATCGCGATAGAATAGAGAACAGGGAGGAGGGAGGAGGGAATTTTTACATTCGCGTTATATTTCGTGTTACACGCGTATAGGATGTTCACTGTAAAATGCTACAAATTATTTTTTTCTGTTGAAATCACTGTTATTGACTTGAAGTTATTTTGTAATAACGCATTTATTGCAAAATATGGTGGAGAATAATATAATATAGTTAATATAAATTATTATAAATTAAAATCAGAGAATATAAAATTATATCCTTTTCTTAAAATAATTAATTTCTAAATTAACATTTTGAACATTCTCAAAATGTCACACTATGATTCTCAACCCCCTCTCTCCGTATAACAATAGATTTCTTGATTATACAATAAAAAAATTTTGCAGATGAATTTTTGTGAGCATGAAAGCACTTTATACGGAGCATCGTGCATATTTTGCGGCACAATTACGCACTGGCACGTGTAATCGTTTATATTTATATTCCTCAAGATCTGCCAACCAAATACCAATCATACTCGATATAATGGAGGTTCAAGGAACCGCGGGACGTTTTCCATTGTTTGCTCGTACATACAAAGCCGCCGACTCGTAAGCCATGCAACGACTACTCATTTCAGCTCCGCCGCTTTTGTAATTCTCCTGTCAATCGATTACAATATGGGCGATTTATCATACTTGCACGTTGAAAAGCCAAAGTATATCCGATCCCATGGATTTATATACTCTTCGAAAGCTTGTTTCACCAGAGTCCTCCTTTTAAGCGCCTGCTTTGTAGCGCTAAAGGCACATTCGGATGTAAAAAAACTTATAATTGACCAGTTTCGTAATCTCAGTGAATAATTGCGCAACGAAATTTTCGCCAAGTGTTTGATCAAGTTCTAATTGATCCTCTATTATTTGAATTAGTGCCAAGTCACTTTGAACGTTACATGAACGTTACATAATTTGAAAAATAAGTTAGATTGAATCTACATTATCCGAACGAAAAGTTAAAAATAGTAGAGAGATACAATCGAATTATTACACGAATACCTATCTGATTGTGTGACGAATTTGTCCCTTATCAGATCGATATAAAAGTGAATTAAATAGAATTAAATATAAAGTAAAGTGTAAACATTTTTCAATTATTTGTAATAATTGTTATTTCTCAAGATTGCGATCCAAAAGGATCTTGATTTTTCTTCAATGATATCATTTCATGTAAAATGTCAAGATCTACGGTTAGAGTGCCATGCTTTTGGAAATTGAACCGAATAATAAACTACTTGTCTATTATTATTATTATTATTATCATCGTATCGATAAATCTCCACTATTGAAAGAATAATTTTACAATTACATAAACAAGTACAAATTAATGATCAACGTGTTTCAATTGCAAAAAAATTTCTATAATCACAATAAAATAAAATATCGATCGAACATTACAAATCTTCAAAAAAGAAAAATTGATATCAACGCTCTCGAGAAGTAAAGAAAGAAAGAAAGAAAGAAAGAAAGAAAAAAAAAATCAATCCTTCACAGATTTCCCCTCCTCGCACAAATTCCCCAATTAAAGGACATCGACGATTTCTCTCCGTTCTCTCGCGACAACAAACGTTTCCTCCGACATCACTCTCTCTCTCTCTCTCCCTCTCTCTCTCTCTCTCTCTCTCTCTTTGCAGAAGGAAGAGAGAGAAGGATGGTCCAATTTCGGGCGGCCGTCTCCCGGCCGTTTCGCGTGGTCCGAGCGCAAATTACAATTCAAAGCTCGTTATCCCGAAAGCGGACGGTCGCGAAGATACTCTCTCCAATAATCCTGCGAAACAATTATCGGCTGACAGCCCGTGTAATTTCGCGGGAGAGAAACAAAGTTGGGAGGGGGAGGAAGGGGTAGGGTGGGTTGGAAGGGCCCCCCTCGTCGATTACCCTGTCCCGTTGCTCGCTTCCGTACGGTAACGATTGCAACACGGGACGGGATCCTCGTGCTCGGTAATTGCATCTGGCCGACCGGTTTTGCTCGTTTTTCACCTCTGTCACCGTGCCGTGATTCCAACCGAAACGAAAACGCCTTTCGTCAAACCGTGCGCGCCGCAGCCTTTTCGTCGGTCGTTTCGTGCACACGAGAGGGATGGGGAGGAGGAAGGGGTTTGCTTCTTCCTCGATTCCTCTTCTTCTTCTTCTTCTTCTCCTCCTCTCTTTCTTTCCTTTATCAGCCACCTCGACCTTTGTTCCCAGCGGCTGTTCGTCGCCGTTGTGATGGACACAATGTCTGCTCGGGCCTTGCGCGGTACTTAATAGCTAGGGATTATTGTTCGGCGTGACCGGGCTTGGTTAGTTGACCGACCAAGCAATTTATTCGTGGATACGAGTCACGTGCGGGGGAGAAATTTTTTTCGCCATCCGCGGTAATCGAGACACGAACGGAGTGGCGGGATTTTGCAATTAGATGTGTGATTATGATATCTTTGATGACACGCGTGCACGCGAATGGATTAGGTTTTTTTTCTTTTTTTTTTTCTTATTAGATATGTTAAGATGTTGCGTGATGTATGAACGGTTGCTAATTTTAATTTTAAGCCGGATGTTTTGTTTTAGCAGTATTATTAGGATTGGGTTTTTTTCCTCCTGAAAATTGCTAACGATTTAACAGTTTGTTTTAATTGTAAGTGTATTTATAAATTAAGCGAGCGAGTTGTTTGGAATAGCTGTTTATATGATCGGAGGAAAAAGTTGGCGTAGTATGACGTTGTGCGTATATTTATTTGCTTGTGGCTTTGCTTGTGGTTATGGAAATGGAATTTATTTGAATTTTGAGTATTTTCTGGGAGCATAATTAGCGTTTGCGGTAGAAAATCGTTTAGATTTTACGTAGCGTGTAATAGATAATTTATTAGATGTTTGTTTAGTTTGATTATAACAAATGGAAAGTAATATATCATTGAAAAATATTAAAAAAGAATTTTACAATTAGTTTGATCAAATTGCAATATTTTTCAAAATTTGTTTCTACATTAGGGGGAAATTGCAAATTGAATCAAAGATAAAAAGAGAGAACAATTTATAGAAATAATCTCATAATGAATAAAGAAGACATTGTCATTCTTAATGAACACAAAGACTTGACACACTTTATTCTTATAAAGCATTTTTTTCTTCAATCTCAAGGGATAATACTTCTTACTACAACAGAATTAGGTCAAGTTTCTGTTATAAAAAGGAAGAACACTAAATCTTGAAATACCTCTTCCCTTTATCAGACAAAGGATTCATAAAAAATATTATGCGACACTCAAATGCTTGCCATAATCTGTAGCGAGGAAAATTATATTTATATCCTTGAAAATACATCGAAAAGAAGAAATGATTATGATTCATCGCGGTATTTTATTTTAATAAAAAAAAAAAA